CTTCACTGCTAATGTTCTGGAACTTGACTGGTCATTTATGAAGAATGAGGCCATAGTACATTGAATAATTTAGAGTTTACTTACAGCTATTTTTCTTTTCAAGGTGTAATTTAGTTTTGAGAGTCTTACAATTTTACTTCTCATTAGTTTCTCCGTAACACGATCTGAATGGGGAAAATAAGACTTCTTCAGTGAATTTATTACTTGGTTAAAAATTAGTAATGGTGGTAGGGATGGGAATAGTTGAATATTGAGTTTTATTTTTTAAAGTTTATTTTTATTAGTAATCTCTCCACCCAGCATAGGGCGCAAACTCACGACTCCAAGATCAAGAGTTGCATACTCCTCCAACTGAGCCAGCCAGGTGCCCCTGAATATTGATTTTTAAGTTGTTTCTCATTATTACATATAATTGAGAATTAACTATATTTTGCCAAAGCTTTCTATTTTTGAATTATCTAGACTGTTGTGTTTATCCTAATGAGCAACTTAATCTTAACCACTACCCGAAAGGACTTAGAGATATCTAGCAAAATAGCTTTTACAGATACAAGGTAATTTGTTGACATACAGACAGCAGCATAATGTAAATGGTTCTTTATTATTTTACTTCTGTTTATTTGGTTATTCTACTTAGGAAAGGGAATGTAATTGTATTTTGAACATATTGTGTGGTGGAAACCATTTTTAGTTCAGTATCATTTGCATTGGACAGTGGGTTAAAGGATTTTTTTTCCTTATATTAAGAAAACTACTATCATAAAAACAAAAATTACTTTAAATTGTTTTGACTAAAGCAGAAAGCTTCTGTATTTGGGGTATTATTTTTCAACTTTAAACACATGTAGTTATTTAATGTCACTATGTATTTTAACTTTTTTTTTGGTAAGTAAGTTCAAGTTGAAATTTCAGATTAAATTATGAAATTAAAGCAAGTCTTGCCATTCTCTTTCTGTTTATCCATGGGCAAGAAAATATATTCTATAGATTCCGTCAAGAATGAAAGAAACAGAGTCACTTTTCTTTAATATTTAGCCTGGTAACCAGTCTCTGGAATAGCAGCAATATAGTAGTCTAAAGAAACTAAGCAAGTTTGGATTAAAGCAAGCCCATTTTGCTACTTTTTGCTTTCAGTTTTCTATATTTACTTCCCTAGCATTGTCTTTGACTCACCAGTCAGAGCTGCTTTGTCCCATATATTATAATTATTTCTACTATTTCTCCAACTTTTTTACTAAAGTACCCCTAGAAAGATGTATCCCTCTTCAGATTTTCTTTTCTTTTTCAGATGTTTCTTTGGAGACTCATATTTTGTTAGAAAAATTCAAGAAATTCCTTAGAAGACTTATGTATATTGTCTTACTCAAGTGAATTTTGCTTTAGCTCCCATAAGATAGTACTTATTTTAATAAAAAGAATGTAAATTCCCATTCTAGTAGGATGTGCCATGTTATCCTGTTTATAACTGCCTTCCTGTGTCTTGATCATACCATTTCAGACTCTCTGTGGTATGTGAATACCTTAGTTTGAAAAACTCATGGTTTCTGTTTAACAACACTTATTCCATACATAGGTCCTTTAGTATTAGACTTCCAGTCTTTAACTCATTGGCATCATGGAGACTATAAATGCAGTTTTTCTTTTCTGATATCCATGGAATCTTTTGTTTCTTCTTCCAGTATCCTGGCAAATCTAGTACCTACTGGCTTCTCTTTCTTGGGTCCTAGGAAGACTCTAAGTGCATTTAAGTATTGTAGGCATAGAATCTCCCTCATTAAATTCCAGTTAAAGTTCTTATATAATTTCCCTCTGCATAGCTCTAGTTCATTCAGTTTATGGAAATTAAAATGTGATTTTAATAATAAAATCAAAAACAACCCCAAACGGTTGGATGAATTATAAACTTCAGGTGATATTATTTATGTACTTTTTACAAGTGCTAATTAATAATTCACTTTATAGGTCATTTGTTCTTACACTCATTAGTTAATGAATACCTCTGGCTGATTTATAGAAGTAGAGCCCCAGAGATGACTTGAGGCATTTTTGACCTGCACTACAAACTGGCCTATGAAGCCTGAGCATTAATGGTAGTTTTGTAATAGTAATTTGTCATTCTATTTTGAAAACAGGTTTTTTTTTTATTGTATTTATTCATTTGAGAGAGAGAGCATGCATGCGCACAAGCAGGGGGAGGGGCAGAAGGAGAGGGAGAAGCAGGCTCCCCACTGAGCAGGGAGCCTGACAAGGATTCTATCCCAGAACCCTGGGATCATGACCTGAACTGAAGGCAGACACTGAAGGACTGAGCCACCCAGGCGCCCCTATTTTGAAAACAGTTTTTAAAGATAACTGAATTTATGTAGAGATCAAAAAACACATAACTTAAAACAGTACAAGTTACAAGTCATTAACTTTTTAAATCTTTTTGTTCCCATGTATATTAGTTATCAAAGTTGTGAACAAACTTCTAAAAAATAAATGTGAAGGTCAGATCATTTAAAGAGTATGAACAAAACACAGATCTAGTAATTATCTCTGTAATTCTCAGAAATTTGATTTCCTGTTTCCCTATATGCCTAGGGTTATTTGGTCTTTTCTTGAGCTGGATAATAATGATATATTTTCCTAATTGGTGCTGCTGATGAATACAGGGGGAAGAGATGATAACTCCTGTTTTGCTTTTTTCACTTAACAGTATGTCCTGGAAATCACTCCGTATCATAGAAATCTTCCTCTTTTTTTTTTTTTACAGTTGCATAGTACTCCATTCTTTGGATGTACCATAGTTTATTCAGTCATTTTCCTATGTACAGACATTTAGACTGTTTCTCATATTTTGCATTTATGAAGAATACTGCAATGTCTATGTATTTTTGTATTGTTGGAGGTGTATTCCCAGGATAGATTCCTAGAATTGAGATTGCTGGGTCCAACAGTAAATCCATATGTGATATTCTTAAGCATCACCAAAATTCCCTCCAGAATGGTTGTACCGATATGTATTCCCATCAGCAGTGTATGAGAGTGCCTGTTTTTCCTTATTTCCTCACTAACAGAATGTTTTTGTTATGTTTAAAATTTTTTTGCCAGTCTAATAGGTGAGAAATGGTATCTTGGTGTTGTTTTAACTTACACTTCTCTAATTGTGAGTGAATTTGAACATTTTTATATTTTGAAGGGCCATTTTAATATCTTTTGTGTGTGTGTGAATTTTCCGTTCATGTCTTTTTCCTGCTCTCAATCTGGTTTTTATGTTTTTTCTTTAAGAATTCTTTACAGTAGTCTCCCCTTATCTGTGGGGGATACATTCCAAAACCTCCAGTGGATGCCTAAAAGTGTGAATAGTACCAAACCCTATATATACTGTGTTTTTCCTACACAATACATATCTATGATAAAGTTTAATTTATCAATTAGGCATGTTCAGAGATTAATAACAGGGATGCCTGGGTGCCTCAGTCGGTTAAGCGTCTGCCTTCAGCTCAGGTTATGATCCCAGAGTCCTGGGATCAAGTCCTGCATCAGGCTCCCTGCTCAGTGGTGAACCTGCTTCTCCCTCTGCCTGCAGCTCCCCCTGGTTGTGTGTGCGCTCTCTCACTCTCACTCTCTCTCTGACAGATAAATAAGTAAATAATCTTAAAAAAAAAAAGATTAACAACAGTAATAAAGTGGAACAATTATAACAATATACTGTAATAAAAGTTATGTGAATGTGGTCTCCTTCTCTCTCAAAATATCTTATTGTACTGTACTGTACTCACCTTCTTCCTGGGGTGATGTGAGGTGATAAAATGCCCATGTGATGAGATGAAGTTGAGGTGAGTGACGTAGATGTTGTGACGTAGTGTTAGGTTGCTGTTGATCTGATGACATGTCAGAAAGAGGATCATTTGCTTATCAACCACAGTTGAAACACAATGATATCCCTCAAATATACAATAGTCTCCCCTTAGCTGAGGTTTCACTTTCTCTTGTTGCAGTTAGCCAAGGTCATGATGAGAAGTTAGGTTGAGAAAGTCTCCCTTGATTCCTTTCTCCTTGAATGTTGCATTTTGAATGGATGTTGAATTTTGTCAAAAGATCTCTCAACATCTGTGAAGAAAACTTTATTCTTTCCCTTAGATTTATGAATACAGTTTATATTAATAGATTTTTTAATTGAACTAGTCTTGTATTCCTGGGATAAATCCCCTCTGTTCATGTTGTATTTTCCTAATGTGGTATTGGGTTTGGTTTACAAACTGAAATTGTAAAATTGTTCCCTCCTGTGTATTTCAAAAGTAAAAATTTGTTTCTTTGTATTATAGTACCTAACATGGTGCCTTGTAATTATTTATTTGTTTCCTTGATTAGATTCAGAGTACTTGTAGAATGTGAATTAGATTTTACTCTTCTTTCTCCTTAGTGCCTAGCAGAGTTCTTCATAAATAGTTGGTGTTCTCTAAATGTTTTTGAATAAATTTGAAGCAGAAATAGTCTGTTAAACTCTTTTTTATTAAACTTTTATTTAATGAAATTTGGATATAGTGTTTCACTTAGAGAATGACCAGTCATATCTGTTATCAGTTCAAAAGAGCACTGGCCAGGAAAGTAGAAGAGGTCTGAGTTCTGGTCTAAAACTTTGGGTTTATGGAGGCCATGAATAACTAATATTTTGGTTTCAGATATCTTTGGATATGAGTTTTTTCATCTGTCAAATCAAGTTGACCCTCTGATCTTTTAAATTTTGTTTCATATCTAAAATGTATGAAGTTATTTCTTAATCATTGGGGTCTGTATTTACATTCTACATACTTTTTTTTTAATTTTTGCTTTTTAGAATTGTTTACCTGTTATAATCAGTAGATACTCATGTGGTTATAGATCATCTTGCAAAGCACATTCTTACTGCAAATAAATTAGTTATGTTACGGAATATTTGTTTAAGAATATTGGTGAGATTATACAGCTTTTTTAACTAAATTATTTAATGTGTGCTTAACACATTTTACTTTTAGGTATGTCTGACTGCAGCAATGATACTACAACTCTTGGTGCATCTAAACCAGGCACAGAAGAAGTCAAGTCTAATTCTGAGGTGATTGGGTGGTATTTCTATGCTTTTTGAAATCAGCCCATCTCAATCAAAGTTTTAGACTGTCCAAATTGACTCAGTTGATCTAAACATGTGTCATTCTGAATAAACTCTTTTACACACATAGACACAGGAAAGGAGTGGGAAGAGAGAGATTTCTTCAAAAACGGGGAAGTAAGTTGCTATTTACTTTTGGGCATCTGAAATTCTAGAATATACTTGTCACATAAAGATGAATGTAAAAGTTGAGGTCAAAGTATAGCTTTTAATTGTTATATTTATTTATTTATTTTTAAGATTTTCTTAGGGGGGAGAGAGAGAGCGAGCGCACAAGCAGTGGGGAGCAGCAGGCAGAGGGAGAAGCAGGCTCCCCACTGAGCAGGGAGCCTCATGCAGGACTTGATCCCAGGAGCCTGGGTCTGTGACCTGAGCCAAAGGCAGACATTTAACTGACTGAGCCACCCAGGCGTCCCTATAGTTTTTAACTTAAACATGAAATTTTCTATTGAAATAATATAGTAATAGGTTCATATTGAACCTGTCTACTTCCATATACTGTCTTTAGTTAGGTATGCATCAGAATCCCAAGTATAGAGTTAAAAAAAAAAAAAAAAAAAAACCTGAGTTCTGAACTTTGCTTTTGACTCACTGAATCTAAAGCTACAGTGATAGGTACCAGGTCATATGGGTTTTTGGGTTTTTTTTCTTTTTGGAAGTTCTACAAATGATTCTAATCACTTCTCTGATGGTTCAATGAACCACTAGTTCATTAGAGTAAAGAGAAAAATATGGAAAAAGTTAATTTTATATTAAATTTAAGTTATCAGATGTTTTTAAATACCTAATACTAGTAAAGCCTCTCATGTTTATAGTGTGTAACGATTTATAGAGTAGCACTTTCATATTGTCCCATTTTGAACCTTAGAACAGTTTGGTATCATTCAGATAGGTACTAGAACAGCTGTTATTTCCCCACTTATTTGTTGAACATACTTCGCTTTCAGAGATAGTGACTGACTTAGAGGAATTGGCAAGGCTAGAACACCACGTGGGGTCTTCTGACTCCAGATACAGTGTTTCTGAACCAGGTTGCCATCAGTATATATGAACAATGCCAGGCACAGTATTTCTTCAACTAAGCCAAGTCACTGTGAGTCTGTATGAAAGCTTTAACATGGGATTTAGAGCTAGATAATTTAATTTTAGTCCAAAAGTCAGAGATGAGTTCTGGTTGGCAAAAATGTATTACCTATGGAGGGTTTAGGATTCTTTGTGATTTAAAATAGTTTGGTTATTTACTGTTTGTCAAAACAATGTTTTAATTGTATTTAGTTCAGAGAAACTAGGGAATTATGTGTACTGTATTTATCTTAACTCATGGATTTGATTTTTTATGATAAGATCTCTGAATCTAAACTGTTGAGAAATGATCAGAGGAAGTTTGATGCTTGTGAGCTACAGGAAGGATTGGCAGCCCAGCCAATGATAAGATTCATAATAAATGAAAGTATTGTATTTGTGGTTTACCACTGAGTTTCGGCTGTGTGAATGTCACTCACATAGATGTTAAACTAGAAGTTTCTTGCTCTTTTAATAGAGAGTTAAACCTGAATGATGATGATCTGAAGGAAACTACGGCCAAGTAATTGTTGTGAAAATTTGTATGTATATTAACATTAAAATCCATGTTATGGGGGCGTCTGGGTGGCTCCGTCATTAAGCGTCTGCCTTCGGCTCAGGTCATGATCCCAGAGTCCTGGGATCGAGCCCCAAGTCACGTTCCCTGCTCCGCGGGAAGCTTGCTTTTCCCTCTCCCACTCTCCCTGCTTGTGTTCCCTCTCTCGCTGTGTCTTTCTCTGTCAAATAAATAAATAAAATCTTTAAAAAAATCCATGTTATGCATTCCCTGCTTTTTAGCCATATCCAAAGTGCAGTGTTCACAGGAAATATTAGGCCGGGCACGGTGGTGCGGGCCTGTAGTCCCAGCTACTCGGGAGGCTGAGGCAGGAGGATCGCTTGAGCCCAAGAGTTCTGGGCTGTAGTGCGCTATGCCGATCGGGTGTCCGCACTAAGTTCGGCATCAATATGGTGACCTCCCGGGAGCGGGGGACCACCAGGTTGCCTAAGGAGGGGTGAACCGGCCCAGGTTGGAAACGGAGCAGATCACAGGAAATATGAGGATTTATTTATTTATTTTTTAAAGATTTTATTTATTTATTTGAGAGAGAGAGAATGAGAGATAGAGAGCATGAGAGGGAAGAGGGTCAGAGGGAGAAGCAGACTCCCTGCTGAGCAGGGAGCCCAATGTGGGACTCGATCCCAGGACTCCAGGATCATGACCTGAGCCGGAGGCAGTCGCTTAACCAACTGAACCACCCAGGCGCCCGAAATATTAGGATTTAAAAAAAAAAAAAAAAAGATCAGGTGTGTGAATATAGTCTGAATTTATGTCCAAATTTAAAAGTACTGTGTGAGTTTACAGTTAACCAAAGAAAGATTTAGGGATATTTTTGACTTTAAAATTCCCCGTTTATGGTGTGCCTGGATGGCACAGTTGGTTAGGCTTCCAGCTCTTGGTTTCATCTCAGATTGTGATCTTGGGTTGTGAGATCGAGCCCTGCATCAAGCTCCATGCTCAGCGTGGAATCTGCTTAGGACTCTCTCTCCCTCTCCCTCTGTCCCTCCTTCCCTGCACACGCGTATGCGTGCGCTCTGTCTCAAATAAATAAATCTTTAAAATTCCCCATTTACACTGGGTATAAGACTGATGAATCACTGACCTCTACCTCTGAAACCAATAATACATAATATGCTAATTAATTGAATTTAAATTTAAAAAAATAAAATTCCCCATTTATTTGTATTCTGCTAACTTGAATCTGCTCTTTTTCAAAATCCAGATGAAAACATTTTTGGGGGGTCAGATTTGCTTACAAGAATTTTTCCTTGAATATATCTCTATATGTATTATGGCAGTTAACTTCTTAAATGTTCTATGCAGCAAACTTAAGTAATTCGGACTGATCTTCAAGCTTGGTGCATGACTGGTGATCAGTTTGATGAATGAATTAATTCTCGCTACTAGTATAAAGGATATATGGATATTGGTTTCTTAGGAATAGAGTATTGAGGACATGGGTGATAGTCTTGATATCTTTAAAAGCAAAACAACAACAGCAAGGGGGTTGCTGGGTGGCTTAATCAGTTAAGCGTCTGAATCTTGGTTTTGGCTCAGGTCATGATCTCGCTCTCCTGGGATCGAGCCCTGTATGCAGCTGCTCACTCAGTGTGGAGCCTGCTTCAGATTCTTTTTCCCTCCCCCTCTCCTTTTTTTTTTTTTAAAAGATTTTATTTATTTATTTGAGAGAGAGAATGAGGTAGAGAGAGAGAGCATGAGACGGGGGAGGGTCAGAGGGAGAAGCAGACTCCCTGCTGAGCAGGGAGCCCGATGTGGGACTCGATCCTGGGACTCCAGGATCATGACCTGAGCCGAAGGCAGTCGCTTAACCAACTGAGCCACCCAGGCGCCCCTCCCCCTCTCCTTCTTCCCACTGGCTCGCACTCCCTCTCTCTCTCAAATAAATATACAGAATCCTTAAAAACAACAGCAAAAACTCCAGCTTCTTGAACTGAGCCAAAAACACTGTCAATCCTGAGCAGAAAGAAACTTAAAAAGTTCATTTAAGTTCTGTAAGGTGAATTGCCTTGCTCATGATCATTCAGCTAGTTAATTATAGAACCTAGGGTGATTTTCTAGCTCTCAACCAAAAGAGCTGTTAAAATATCCATCTCATCAGTGACCATAAAAATGCTTTCTTCTTTTAATGTGTGTGTGTGTTTTAATGACATCAGTTTTTTTCTTTTTAAATTAAAAAAAAAAAAAAGAAGAAGAAAACATGAGCTTGGCTTGCTTTATACTCTAGTCCAGTCTTGATTACAGCAGATGAAGGTGGATTTTTTTCTTTGTGTTTTTAATATTTAAACTTTGTACCTTGAAATGTGTTTAAACTGCTGATTCTGTATCTGTAGAAGAAATAATGGTTTAATAGGCACCATTCACAGAGAGTCTGTTAGGTGCTAGACACTGTACTGGGTTTTACATATGTACTATCTCATTTAATACTATAATAACCCTGTTTGCATTTGAGGTATTCTCCCTCATTTTACAGATTAGGCAACAAACATAGCTAATGAGGAACAGAGCTGTGATTTAAACCCAAATAAAAGTGGAAAATATGAGTAAATTTAAACTAAATAGGGAAAAAATTATTTAAAGGTAGAAGCAAGGATATTGGGAAAAAAGCAAATAGGTATATTTTTAACAATAAAAAAGGAAAGAAAGAAAAGTAAGTGTATTAGGTATTAGCATGTTTTAGGGTTATTGCCTGAATTCTTCTTTTCTGTCTGCCCTTCAGTATAGTAACACTAATACATATTCCAATTTCTAATGTCCAAAAAATATATACAAAAATTTGTGTTTTTCTTTTAATATGCTACGAAGGGAATGCAGATCCTGCATTCAAGACATGTTGATTAATAGAGGAAATTTTAAAATAAATAAAATGTGGAGTAATAATGTCTTTAGAGTGATACAAATAAAGAATTGTGACAGTTCAGAGGAGTATCAGCCAGAAACATCACTGCAGGTGGCATTTTACACTGAGTCTTAGAGTGTGAGTAGAATTTGAGCATATGAGTGATGATGGTCACTGTTTGAGCAAAGGCATAGAGAAAGGAAATTGAGAGACGTGTTTGGGAAAGTGTGAATAATTAAGTTTGATTTAATAGGGTATCTGAAGAAGTATAATTGATGGAAAGAAGATAGTCCAGGTCATGAAAGGATTTTGAGTGTCAAGAGGAGTTTGCTTTTATGTTGGAAGCATACTGAGGGAGACAGAAGTTAAACATATACATAAATAGGGGCACCTGGGTGGCTCAGTTTGGTTAAGCATCTGTCTTCAGCTCACGTCATGATCCCGGGGTCCTGGAATCTAGCTTCAATT